TTAAAATTGATGAAGATATTAAAATATATAAATATCTAATATAAATACAAATATATAATTAAAGTAAGAGTTAGGAGACTGCAAGGAATATTTATATTAATTTTATATATTTTTTTTTAATATTTTTGTTTATATTTTTATGTACCAAATAATTTCCCTTTAATTCTTTAAATATTTTCTCTATATAAGTATGAATTTAATATATTTCTGTGTATTATTTATTTTTACATATTAGCAATTTGTATATATGTATGTATACATTTTTTTTATTATTAATTAATTTTTTTTTTATGTGTAAAATAATTTTCAGCATCAGAAGGGATTTTTTCTAAATTATTATTATTATTATTTTTTTTTTTTATGGACTAGCAACATTCACAATATTTTTAACCATATAATATAGTTCACATTATAAATTAAATCAATATATTTAAAGTTACTGCAATTGGATCTTAAAATGGTCTCATGCTATTATGAAATTCAAAATAAATAAATTTGTGTAAAATACACAAGTGAATAATTAGCTGAGCGTGCTTAACAAAGGCTTTGAATGATGCTCTATATATGTATCTTAATAGTAATACATAGTTTCATTTCAAAATTAGGAGCTGTACGAGACTTTTCTCTTAATATTTTCTGCTGCTTTTTATGTGCCTTTTTAGTAAATTACAAAACTGCGCCATTTTTTCGGGCATTCTATTCGCACAGGACACAAAACTGTGTGCCTATAAATCAACAACAGAAATACAGCGGAAATGGCACACTCAGTGTATGTATGTATGTGAGAGGAAGAGAGAGAGAGCGAGAGCGAGCTGTGGGACAATTTTCAACGTTGCTCCCGAAAATATGCAACATTTTTTATATGTTTCTGCTTCACAAAGTTTTGCGTCATAAAATTTTTTTTGCTGCGGCTGCCACTTTTGTGTTGTGTTGTGGCTTTATGTGTATATATGGGTGTGTGTGTGTGTGCTTTTTATGACCCAATATGGCCGCCAAGCGCGGCGTACGTGTTTCGTTCAGTCCCAGCTTCTGCGATTGTGTGGGTTTATGAATTATATAGATTTTTATACGGTCGCATATTATTTTTGTTTCTATTTTCTTTATTTTATTTTTTTTGCCCTTCCTTACTATCTCTTCCAGCATGCCGTTCTCTTTTTTTTCTCGAGCAATAAAAATGTCTTTTTATATGCGGCACTATCTGGCAGATCACCCTGCATAATGTTGGCCCGTTTTTGTTTCTGTTTATGAATATTTGCTGGGCCTGAGCTTGACTTTTATGTTTTACTGGGCTGAGCTACCAAGCTGGCATTTCATTATGCCAATATTCGTATATAGAATATATATGTTTTACTTGTACGCTTTGTGCGCTCTTCTCTTCTGCCGTTTGCCTATTGCGCGCTGCTTTTGTCATTTTTGCATTAATTTCATATTTTGTGTGTGCGCTGGGCTGCCGCGCTGCTGTTTATTCCGCATAAATAATAAATATTTTTGGTTATTGCGTCTGCACAGCATTAATATTATTTTGCACACAAGCGCACACAAGCGCACACATACACACACACACACATTTACACTCACACATATACGTTAACATCCTGCATCGTGTGCGGCAGTCGGGACAACGCATTGCCGTGAGCTTTAATTTCGGCTCATTTTTCGTTATCAAAACATTAGGCCTATGCGCATGTATTTGTTGTTTTTTTATTCTCACACATAAATATTTGCAATTAAATATACGAAACACACACACACACATTTACGCGCCACACAATAAACAGGTCGATAGATTTCAATAGAGCCCAGGCGTTGGCCACTAGCAAAATATCCAAATACTGTTTATATTTGATTTAGCCAACAAATTTCATGCTTATCCAAATTTTCAAGCATTTTAATTAAAAATAGCAAGGTATATTCGAAATTTGTAAATCGTAGTACATTGGGATATTTTTGAAAGCAAAATATGTCAAAATTAATATAAAACTAAAGCAAACTTCAAAATGAAACACGCAACTGGCGCCGTCGGTTTTAATTATTATATATTACATATAACAATATAGTAAAAATAATAAAAAACAAAATATTGTATTTCCTAAATGCGCTAATTTAGACAAGAAATAATTATATAGGCACTTTGCTATTTTTAAATAGTCAGCTAATATCAATTATATGTACATACAATGTGTATGTATGTATAATAAATAGCAAATGACTTAAAGATTTGCAAATCTGATTTTCCAACTGGACTTTTAATTCAACAGTGAAAATCCTTTAAAAATATCCCTTTGGGTAATTTGCTGCATTTGATAATTTAGACAACAACCTTCTAAATAAACAAGACACTGGGCACAAATTCAGCAAATTAGACACAAAATATGCTCAAGTTCAAAATTATTATCAAATTATTCGTACGTACATACATACATACATATGTATACCCTTTATTGTTTGCCATACTTACATATTACATTTCGTAATCCGCTGTGGAAATCACAGCGCGGCGCGTCATATTGTATTATACACACACGTATCTATACATTTGCATACATTCATATGTATGTATGCAAGCCAGCGTACATACATATTTCTGTCTGTTTGGGTGTACGATGGCGAGTGCTAGTGCACCCGGGCCAATGAACAATGGTGTTATCAATAACATAGACCCACATGTGTTTCTCGTAAGACGGACGGGCGGCCGATTGATTAAGCTTCAAGTGCCGTTGACAGCTAATCGGGTCGCATAAGGCGCGAGCAATCAAATTAGTGTCTCAATTGTAATGTACTTAGCAAAACTATTTCAGCAACAACAGTGTACTTTGCTCAGAGCGCAAGATAGAACGAGAGAGAAAGAGAGAGTACGAGAAGAGAGAGGCGCGCCAAGCTTGCTTTGCTGGGCGATAGAGGAGGCGTAGCGCCGCGACGCTTTGTGCTTCTCAGTGCAATCGCACCCTCATTAACTATGCCTCTGGCTGTTGGGCAAATGCGCCGTTATCATTTCATGCATTTGACAACAGCAGCCAAAAGCAACTGAGCCTCGGAGCTCTCGGCACATTGTTCAAATAGCTTCTCACGCAGACGGTTTGCTATAGCACAGCATAGGTCATTGCAAAGTACTGATAAATACACAGTGCACAACGCGAAATAGACAACACATTTAGTTTTTTTGTTTATTTTTTTTCGCCATGGCTGAGGAGTCGAGGACAGTCGGGCAGTCCTCCACGGAGGGATGCGTCGATCAGCTACAGTTCTTGCGCGACAAACTGCAAAAGTTTCAGAGCAAAATTATGGGCGATTTCGAGCAGCGTCTGTCCTGCATGATAGAGGACGTCATGCAGGACGTGCGGCAACAGGAGCTGCGCGCGCAGGAGTTCCGCCAGTTCGACACCTCGCGGGGCAGGGCCAATCACGCAAGCGCCACTTGGCACAATCGCCAGCAGCAGGCGTTTGCGACAGCAGCGGAAAATGACGTCAGGGACTGCCCAAATGGTCGGGTGCATGCCCAAAATGGGACAACGCCAAAACAAGAGCAGCAGCAGCAGCAGCAGCAGCGACAAGATCGAACGCAACGACGTCAATTACCCGACAAGGTGTTCGTGGCGCGCGAATCATATTTGACAGCGCTGCTGCAGGTGGAGCACATGCGCACCATCTACCACATATTCTCAATCATTCTGGTCATGTTTCTATTGAACGTCATCTTCTATGACTACTTTGTCGAGGGCCGCATCAATTTGGGCCTCGGCACGTTTCGCACGGGGCTGAAGCGTCTGCACTGGGTGCTGGGCGCCTGGCTGCTGGAGCATGTCTTTGTGCTGGCGCTCTACTATGCATTCCAAGGCTGGGCACTGGTCCGTGCCAAGCTGCAGTCACACAGTGAGTCTCGAAAGTATTTCGTCGAAGCCAAACTCGAATAAGAATTTCAATTTCCTTTCAGAATCGCTGCAGCGCTTCTGGTCGCACAGCTGCCTCATCCTATATATCAGCGCTCAGTTCGTCTTCGGGTATGTGTCCACCTCGCTGTGCCTGAAGTTTCAGCTGCCCTTCATCAGTGCCTGTGTGCTGCTCCTGGAGAGCACGCGGCTGCTGATGAAAATGCACGCATATGTTAGACACAATGCGGCCCGGGTGCTGCAGGGCAAACAGAAGACGGACGACGATGGCGAGCTGAAGGAGGCGCGTCCCTATTTGCCGCCCCTGCGCTGCTACGTATACTTTCTGTTTGCGCCCACCCTAATCTACAGGGACACCTACCCACGCACGAAGCAGATACGCTGGAAGTTCGCGCTCGCCCGCCTCATGGAGGTCGTTGCCATTGCCTTTTTCTATGCCTCCATACACGAGCGCCACATTCGCGAGTACTTTGGCCAGTTTGGCAAGGAGCCACTGGGGCCCTCTCAGCTGATCGTCAAGATCTTTGGCATGATGCTGCCGAGCGCTGTAATCCTCTTGTGTGGCTTCTATATGATTCTCCACTCGTGGCTGAACTTTACGGCGGAGCTGCTGCGGTTCGGGGATCGCATGTTCTACAAGGACTGGTGGACGTCGCACACCTACGATGGATACTATCGCAACTGGAACGTGGTGGTGCACGACTGGCTGTACGAGTACGTCTATAGGGATCTGTATACCTACGTTTTCAAGGGCTCCAAAGTGATCGCCTCTCTGCTGGTGTTCATGATATCGGCGCTGGTGCACGAGCAGGTGCTGGGATTCGGGCTGCAATTGTTCTTCCCCGTCATGTTTATGTTCTTCGGTGTGCTGGGTGTCGCGTTGGTCTTCCTGATGCGCAGCGCACCCAAGACCCTGGGCAATATTTGCGTCTGGTTTACTCTCATTATCGGCAACGGCACCATGATCTCTCTCTATTCCATGGAGTATTATGCGAAACGGAATTGTGACCTGCGCTACGAGCGCTGGACGGACTACATAACACCTGCGATGTGGCGTTGCTACCATTAGCAAAAAAACTCCTTTTTTTTTTAAATCGAATGTTAGTCTTACTACTTGTAATTTGTACACATGGCGTACGTTTCGTATATTAGGTAAATAAACTTAGGGAAAAATTCGTGAAAGGCTTTCAAATTTGTGTTTGACTGAATGGCCACAAAGAACTTAAGGCTATAATTGTAACAATGTATTAACCTACTGTAAACATATTTTACATCAAGGTGACTGATGATTAACTCCAATCTTATTGAATACTGTCTAACATTAACATAATGCTCGCTACCAACTCTACTAGCCTCTGCCTCTGGCTCGTCCTTGTCTGCGTCTTCATCTCGTTGTTCCAACTAGACGCAAACATTGACATTATTGGCTGTAGTTGGTTGCGAAGCGGATGTCTCGTCCTCGACGTGTTTGCGACGGAATAGGATAACATGCGGCTCGGGCGCATGCATCATGTAATGTACCCAGCCGGGACTCTGTTGAACTCCAAGGTTACGCCATTCCGTCTCTGTCATTAAATGCGATTTAGGGACATGCTTGGCCAAGTCGGGCGGCAGAATTACGTGCCTGAAAGCGAAAGGCTGAATGGTGAATAAATGTTATTAATTATTATCTATGAGATCCTTACCTATACTCATATTTGTCGTCAAAATATTTTTCGGAATATTGAATTTGATCTGCGGGCATGATAAATAATATTTATTTATTATTTGGGATAATAAATCTCGCTTTTCGTGGCGGCTTAACGATAAATGTTGAGCACTGAAAATGTCAGTGTTGAAAATTGTGCTAGCTTTATAGAATATGATTTCTTGGCAGTTGAACGAACTGTGTGGTTCATTTAAATTCAAATAAAAAAACGTATTACTGCTAATGTACATAACTATCATAAAAATCGTAGGGCAATGTTAAATTATTTAATAAAAAAAGGATTTTTCGGACATTTTGATATTTAGCTTAAACGATATATAATAAGCAACACAAATGTAAAGTTTTTGTACTCATTTGGTACGGTTATAAATGATTCATTTTGGAACTGCTTTATGATGTTATGTTAACAGAAAATTGCAGAGTTGTAACAGCGACGCGCTACGCTTGGCATTGTTTGCTATTTTGTTTTGTTGTGCGCACAAATAATTTCAAATTGTTTATTGTAATTGGAGCAGACTAAATAATGGATGCAACAAGTATATTGGACGATGCCAAGCTGGAAGCATTCCGTGAGTTAAACTTACTAGAAAAGCATCGAGTTGAGAGTTTTAAGGATTGGCCCTTTTCATCAAAGTCCACATGCAGCATTGACAAGGCAAGCGAGTTGTGAATATATTGGTATCATACAGTTTTTAATTATTTATTCCAACTACTGTGTAGATGGCCGAAGCGGGGTTTTACTGGACGGGCACCACGCGTGAAAATGATACCGCCACTTGCTTCGTGTGCGCCAAAACCTTAGATGGCTGGGAGGCCGAAGACGACCCTTGGAAGGAGCATCTGAAGCATGCCCCACAATGTGAGTTCGTTAAAATGGGTTGCGCTGAAAAGGATTTAACTGTAAGTAAAGAGACGGTGCAAGTAGCTAAAAATATTTGCTATTGAAATGCATTTATTTACTTTCAGGTGGAGCAATTTTTGAACATTTTTGGAACTGTTGTTAAGACGAATATTTCAAAGAATATTAAGGATTTTAAAACTAAATTTGTGAAAGATAATGAGGCCAAGCTGAAGAGCTTCACGCATAATCAATCATAGTTTCAATTTTAATATACATATTTAATAAATTACTTATCGTTTTTTTGAATCGTGAAATTTGCATTTCTGCCGCTCATATCTTAGCAGTGCGCTGTTAAAAGTCTACCAGGTGGCAACTCTTCAAAAAGTTAGTACTATATTTTGCATTATACGAATCGTTTTCTGCACAAATGCATTTTGAAGTTTGTTTATTACAAGCATTTATCCGACAAGTGTTCGGTGATCGCAAAGAATTGCTATTAATGAAAAGGGCGAGAAATTACGCATCATGTTGAAACGCAAGCTCGATAGGCAAACGAAGGCTCTTGATCTAAGGAAAACTGAATCATCAGCTTTGGATTCAATACCGACAATCGACCAACAATTTTATGCCTTCGAGTGCAAGTTAAATGAAGAACTAGGGCATCTGGTATTGCCAAAGGAGATTTCTTGTGTTTACAATCCCGTCGAGTATGCGTCGTCCTTACATTGCGCGTACCTAAAAAAGTATTTAAGTGGAACCAAAAATGTTGTATTTATTGGCATAAATCCTGGTCCAAAGGGGATGTGCCAGACAGGCGTAAGATGTCTTAATATACATAAATATGTAAACACATGTATATAATATTATTTGTAGATACCTTTCGGCAACGTTGGCACCGTCATTAAGAAGATGCAACTCTCGGGTGTAGTGCAGCAGCCGCCCTTGTTGCACGATAAACGACCTGTTACAGGTTTAGATTACAGAACTGAGGAGCAGAGTGGATTACGTTTGTGGAATCTATTTGAGGAATTGGCTGGCAGCTTGGATATATTTTTTCAACAATGCTTTGTCCACAACTTATGTCCTTTGGCCTTCTTTGATGAAAAAGGTGGGAATGTAACACCTGACCACCTGAAGGGCGATTATAAGACGTTGATACGAGACAAGTGCTTGATGACATTAGATAAGCAGCTCGAGCTGTTGCGGCCACAATTCATTGTGGCTATTGGATCGTGGGTTGAAATAGAGCTCAAAAAGAGATCGTCTTATTGTAAATCAAGCGCAACAGTGATTCGTTTAAAACATCCAAGTATGCGTGTGCCCAACAATACAAAGTGGTCAGAAGAGGCGAAAGCATTGCTGGAGGAAAAAGATCTAATCAAATACATATGTAATAAGCCAGAAGGCTAAATAGTGTTAAGTGAAGAAACGGAAGCTCATCTAAATATGTATATATGTACATATTAATATATGAAGAAGAAAGTGTAGCGATAACATTGTGAGTCACAAAATAATACATACGAGAACTGACAGAGTTTTTGCTCATCGTAATAATAAAATCTTATATCAAATATAATAGTTTGGCGTGTATATCCTCAAAGTATTTGTTCTAAATTTGTCCTCTAAGTCTGTGATCTGTCAGGCACTTCACTTCACTTTACGGCACTGCACAATTGACCCCAACCAGGCCTGAGCGACTGAAGAAATGCTGCAGCTGCTGCCCTTTAAATAGGGCGACATTCCTTCAGGCACTCACTCTCACTCTGCTGCTTTAAGCACTCTAGCTTCTTCGTTAGCTTCGTAAGAATCGTTGCAGCCGAGCTCTAAGTGACCAATGAGCACACTCTCTGCTGCTTTAAGCACTTTTTCTTCGTGTTACTTACATTTATTTACCAAATGATACATATGGACAACTTAGATGATCTCCAATTCATAGTCTCTTGCTATCTGGCTATTCCATGCCATACTCATTTTAAAGGATGGGACCCATTATGCCCAGTTCTTTTCGTTTCTGTCGCTCTCTTCTCTATCGAATGTATACACACATGTACATATGTATGTGTGCTGGCACAGGCAGCAACTTACAAGAATATGAACTGTTCGTAAAGAGCTGCCATTTCTTCTCTTTTGAAAGAAGACTATACCAAACCATATGAACATTTTCTATACATGAGATGGTGACGTGCTAAAAGATAACTACTTCTCGACGAGCATGCACACACTCGCACTTGTGTACGAAATGATAGCTGTCTATGTTTGGTTGAATGGTTAGTGTATTAACAGAATTGAATATATTTGAATCACGGCCAGTGCTGCCACACTGTTGCCGTTGAGTTGCCAATCACATCGTGACTGTGAACAGCTGATTTTTGCTTGTTATTTTTTTGCTTGCCTGCGTCGTGGCGTCGTAGTCAGTTCTGTTTTTGTTAGTCTGCGAATAAACTGCAATATTTCCATGCCAAATGGCCGCGTTTATGGAGGATGCTCTTGTGGAAGCGAGGCGGGCACGTGACGCAGGCGAGGTTCCCGTTGGTTGTGTGTTTGTGCACAATGACAAGGTAATAGCACGTGGCGGGAACGAAGTGAATGTACATCGGAATGCAACACGTCATGCGGAGTTCATATGCATCGATGCCACCTTGGCGTACTGCCGTGAGAAGCGTTTGCCAGCACGCCAGGTGTTCAGTGAGATTAGCGTTGTGGTTACTGTGGAGCCCTGCATCATGTGCTCTGCCGCTTTGCACACACTCGCCGTCAAGGAGATCATCTATGGCTGCGAGAATGATCGATTCGGTGGCAAGACAGTGATAGACGTTGCCGCCGTGGTTGGCCAACAGATCAACATAACGGGCGGTGTGCGAGCGGATGAGGCAATGGCCTTACTAAAGGACTTCTACAAGGGCGAAAATCCGGCAGCACCACCCGTCGCAAAGAAGAGGAAATGACTGGATCTCAGTTGAAAGGCGAGAAGAGAAAAGAACAAGCACCGTAGTCACCTTAAGCTTCAGCTTATGTAAAACCGTTTTGTATATGTTTTAATTTATTGTAAACTTTAAGCATAGAGTCTAAGCTAATTATGGCGTTCAGAACGTTACATTTAATATAAATACAATTACTGCATGAAGAGCAACAAGATGTGCATATAGTCGAAGGCTGTGCCAATGCAACTCTTACAGGAAATCAAAAAAATTATTTTATGTCATTCAAATTGCACCATCACCAGAAAATGTTATTGTTAACCCTTGTGAGACTTATTGGTATTGCACTAAAACCTAAGCTAGTCTTTTGGCACGTCATTTGCTGCGCAGGCTGCCTCGGATCGGGGAGCGTGCGGAGCAAACAATTGCGATTGCCTTTTACAATTTCTACATTAATGCTATCGATTTATTAAAATGTATATGTTTTAGATGGGCAGATTGCGACGTCTGTGGCCGATGTTGACCCACTCCAGAGGCACACTGTTGCCCACGTTGTATGAGGCTGGATTGCAGCTGTTTAGCTTTTTAGCTGGCTCGCAGCGACGGCTCACATTCCAATAGGCGAAGCCTTGGGGACAGCGATATATCTGTCCCTCGATGTGGCCTGTTTGCTGCGAGTAGCCGCACTTCACGAAGACTTGGCTGCATTCATCCTGGTTCAGTGCAAAGTGTCCCTCCTCCGGACAAAGAGGCTCTGTCGAATGAATTGGCACCTAAACGGAGACAAATTTGGGTGGGTTAGTAAAACTGTGCGATTTGCCATATCTAACAGATACTTGCCATGTTTAGTGGTTCCACGGCCTCATCAAACAGCTGTGTACGTGACGATCCCTTGTTGTAACAGGTGTCATTGGGTTCTGGCTTGCCGCAGCGACATGATGCCTCCTGATAGACGGTACCATTGGGACATTGGAACAATACAATATTCAGATTCGAGTCAGAGTTCTCATTGCACTGGTAGAATACGCCGCATTGCTTGGAGTGTCGACGGAAGCCGGACGGGCAGACAAACAAACTTTGCTCCTCAGTGGTTGTTGGGCAGGGAGCACTTGAATTGTTGGATACCTCAGGCTTTGGTTTCTCTTGCTGTTCTGTGGTTGTCTCCATTGGCCTACTTGTAGTAGTTGTATCCGTTGGCTTAGTGGTTGTTGTATCCACTGGCTTAGTTGTAGTTGTATCCTCCGGCTTATTTGTAGTATCCATTGGCTTAGTTGTAGTTGTGTCCGTTGGCTTAGTGGTTGTTGTATCCACTGGCTTAGATGTAGTTGTGTCCTCCGGTTTATTTGTAGTTGTGTCCATTGGCTTACTTGTAGTTGTGGTGCTGTCTGAGCTGGTGGTGGTCTCTGGCTTACTTGTTGTCTCTGGCACCATGGTGGTGGTTGTCATTTCAGTCCATGGTGTTGTTATTTCAGTCGGTTTTGTTGTTGAAGTCGTGCTGCCTGAAGAGCAATTGCCGGACACCTGATCGGCGTAGTTACATGTGTCCAGAGATGTGTCCCAGACCGTGCCCTTCGGACAACGGAACTTATATACTTGATAGGTATTCTTGTTCTTGGTGCAGCGATAGTAAATGCTGCAGTCCTCTGGATCAGCGTGGAAGCCTTCAGCTGGACACGTAAAGTTCACTGGCGGAGCCTGAGTAGTAGTTGGAGGATAGCCTGGCACTGATCCAGTTGTTTCTGGATACGTTTCTGTGGTTGGATAATCGGTGGGCTTTGTTGGGATATCCGTTGGCTTCTCCGTGTAATCAGTGGGCTTTGTTGGGGGTCCAGTCGGTTTCGTTGGAGAATCTGTTGGTTTCGTAACTATTTCCGTTGTTGGCTTCGTTGGTGGCTCTGTTGTTGGCTTTGTTGGCGATTCTGTTGGTGGTTCTGTTGTTGGCTTTGTTGGTGGTTCTGTTGTTGGTTTTGTTGGTGGCTCTGT